AAAAAAAAAAAAAAAAAAAAAAAATCTGCAAGGAGATATATTGAAAGATGAAAATCTAATTTTTAAAATTAATTAAAATCTAATATTAAGCTTAATTAAGTACACTGCACAAAACATGTATTTAACCGTATACTACCATAACCTTCCCCTCAACAGTCTCCCATCCGCGTACTTTTTTGAAACAAAATTGATTGAGTATGAAAATAACAGCGACCCAAAATGTAGAAAAAACTTAAAACAATAAACTTTCCTGATTTTCATGTCTACCGCCGATCGTGAAACACGAAAACAAATCCTCCTTTATGAGCTGCAGTAGAAATACAATTTACCAAGAGAATAAGAACCCATAGGAAAGGAATTTACAACTTAATGGTCAATGTCAAACCAATCGAAACAAGAATACAAACTTTACCTCGGATAGACTAAAATGAAAGTGCGACAACAAATTCAGTGCAAAATTTTCTTGATTAATTCAGTGCGATTTTAGTCTATAGTGCAGGACTATAGTCGACTATTACCAAACACAATGTATAATCAGACTATTACCAAATTCAAAATTAATGAGTCTTGCACTATAGCATCAAAATTAATGAAGAACATGTAAAAAGATGTGAATTGTCGATCATTTTATGTTTTTATTATTATTTCATACATTGGACTAAAAAACTAAAATACAAGTCTAAATTACCTCGTGTAGGAGGTATTAGTGGCCTCTTCCATTTGACCTCTCTCTGGTCAGGAAATCAAGTTTCTTTATTCCAATGATTGTTGGCACCCATATCCAGATAATTGGTTACGGCATTGAGAAATACTGCAGGTCGACCAGATTCCTGTTGCATTATGCATGAAGATTAATCCAAATAGTAGCAGATATCCTGTATATTTTTTTCTTTAAAATATATTGACTTACCTAAGGTAGATTAAGCTCAGTGTTATCAAATGGCGGCCATGGCGGCACCATGGCGGTATGGCGTGGCGGATTTTTAACAATCCGCTATGCAAAATTTGTGAATGATGGCGTTCATGGCGACGCCATAGACCGCCACAGCGGCCGCCATGGCGGCCGCAATGGCGGAATTTTGGCAAAACACCATGTACCGCCATCCGCCATTAATAACACTGATTAAGCTTCATGAGAACCATTCCGGAATAGTTCACACAGCCAACCATTGCCTAAGATCCTAGAACCACATAAGGGCTATAGATGCCACATAAGAAATTACAAATGCTAAAACTAAAAGGCGATCATTCATAAGAAAGTCACAAAGAAAAACCCTTATAGTGCACCTACCAGTGAATTGTAACACAATAAAAGAGGTTCCATTAGATGATATGATGTTTCATAATAATCCCCATGGTACGTCATAAAAGCATTCTCCACTTGAGGAAGAAGATCCATGTACAATTTCTCGATCTTTCTTCATTCTCACGTTGGCCATCATGTACTTCGTCTGAACTTCTTCTCCCCGACTTCTGCGTCTCCGCTAGCAAGGGTGCGCCATCGTGTCGAGGCCTTTGGTCTGCTGTCGGCCAACAATGCACGCTGCAGGCATGCACGGATGTCTCCAGGCTCGATCGGGGGCCCGCAAGATGCCGTGCAGACACATCTACCGCTTGAACCACACCCTCCCGTGGCAAGATCTGCACCAGGATCCCCATCAGACCAATACCAGACTTGGAAAAAAGGAAAAAAATACAAAGAGATCGGTTCAATCAAACAAAATAGAAAAAACCCAAATTAATACAGTTATGCAGAAGCATTATGAAAACAAATAGCAAACAACCACTTCACCGATAGTAACATGTAAGCTCATACCACACACACAGAGTGAGAGAGGGTTCAAAACAGCAACCAAAAAAAGAAAAGAGTATAATCTGAAAAGGATACAGACAATTCAACAGCAACAAAGGCCTGCAAATCACTCGACATAAATAAACAAGAGTGTAATCTGAAAATGATACTTACAATTCGCCACGTGAAGTACCGAACGGCCGGTTAAATTGAGGGTTCATATAGTATAATCTTCACACTGTGGCCGGGAAAAAAAAAAAAAAATCAAGTTAATGATCGAGGAAGACGACGGGAACCCTCTCGCAGAAAAAAGTAGATGTGAAAGTATCGAATGGGCTACAAAAAAAATAACTCACACGACGGGAAAAGACGCCGTTTAAGACAGGAAAAAAACGACGTTGTTTCGAAGTAAAAGAGGCAGCCCCTTAAAATCCTTGCGCCATGTGTCGACCGAAGGAGCTTTCACCATATTTTTATGTATTAAGAGTAATAGATTTGATTCCTACACATGTTAACACACTTGCAGAACACATATCAGCAATCGGAAGAACAATACAGTTTGTTTTATTAATTTACATAGCAGACACGAAATTAACTATTTGTAAATGATTGTAATTTAATATGTCCATTAACCTGCTGCTATGCCTGGTATAAGTCAGTCCCATTGAATGGAATAACTCGCTAAGCATCTGAACCGTACAACATAGCATGTATGCTTCTTGTCCCGTCTTGAATTGCAATTGGTTATCAACACCTATTTGTTATGAATTCAATAAAAGTCATGTATTTCAGTTTAAAATAAATATAGTTTAACAAAGTAATTGATGAAGTTTCAATTATCACACAAGCTTTGAAATAACACATTTATGGGATGCTTGTAATTATCACGATGAAACACCCATTATCAGCTTAACATAAAAAAAGTGATAGCCAGCTATGAAAAGTTAGGTACTCAGAAATGTTATAATCAGTTGATAAAAAAACTACATAAATGAGTATAAATAGAAAATATTAGTACGAAAAGTTTGCAACAATAGAAGTAGGGTACAAGCTTAGTACCAATAAAAACCAAAGCTTAGAATGACAACTAAATTTGGTGAGTGTCATGTGGAAATAACAATACCTGTGCAAACACAGCCAACACAATGGTGCACAACCCTCCCCCACCTTCACCCTCTCTGCCAACTTTAAAAAAATCTCATATTATCAAATACATTCAGTACTATAAAGAACAAAAAGCACCAAGCAGACCAAACTAAAACCAAAAAAACCTCATCGATTTCAAAAGCAAACAATCTGACGATCAACACCAAAATTCTAGAAAAATGTACAGGAATAAACTTCCCTGATTTTGACGCCCTTCAATGTCGATGATTCATCGACGTCATCCGATCCCATATCATCAACTAATTAAATATCGAAAATTACCCAAAAGATACCTAGGGCAATAACTTTTTTGAAAAAAGAAATATCAACGTAGGTCCAGGGTAGAAAAACGAAGAGATGATGAAAAAACTAACAAATTGAATACATATTTTATGTAAGAGATGAATAAAAGATAATGGACGAAAGAGTGGAATTCCCATTTCAATGACAAGAATCTACCTGAGAAATTAAGACACGAAGTCTTCACGATCGCTGCGTCTAGGCTCGGTGGTGGTGAAGACCGGAGACCCCAGCTCGTCGGACATATCCCCACGTCTCACAAATGAAGCCTCAGCCCGGCCCCGTCGTGAAGTCCTCTCGTTCTGTTAAAAGAAAAACAGTAAAAATCAACACACCTCAAAGATTTCACTAAAAACTAAAACCTTCATTTACGCAGCAGACATAAAGCATCTATGAAAAAAAAA